CAAGTTCTGAGACTATGAATTTCTTAACCCATGGTTTCTTAAGCATTTCGCAGGGTGTACTTCAGGCCGCTCTTGTGCCAGCTCTGGAACTCCCGCCATGCCAGCTCGCGCAAGGCCTGCATTTCGGCGCGCCGTGCGTCTTGCGGCCTCCATGATTCCACGCGGTCCGGGGCCGCTTTGCTGAGAGGCCACGGTTCCTCTGCAACAGAAGCTGCGCTCGGTCAGCAGGAGTGCGGGCGACGGCATGGATGGCATCCGCCAGCACGCGAGGTCGCGGAACTTGGTTGTTGGCCCGGGCTGTGGCGAGCAATTCCAGCCAGCGCCGCGAGCACCTCCTTGCCAGAGCGCGCTGTATCCACTGCGACAGGATCGTGCGCCGAAGCCTTCTGCGCCCCAGCGCGCTGCTCGCCCTGCGTCCGGGCCCGCGTGGCCGGGCCGGCGGGGCGCGCGAGCTCCACGGGGGAGGCGTCTGCGCAACCTCCCCAGACCCCCTCGAGTAGTGAAAAAATCATGACGGGAGGTTTTTCGCAATTTTCGGCCTCTGGGGGCCCTCACCGGGCCTCGGGAGCGTCAAAAAACGACTCAGGATCACAAACCGGTCCTGGGGAAGGGGTCGAGAACTCTGGGGTCGACGTAATGAAAAAATCATTACGTCGGGGGTCTGGGTCTGAAGCAAGGCCAGACGCCGCGAAGCTCCCCTGGATTTCACCAGCCTCGAACTTATCCCTATCCCTAAGATTGACACGTCGCCAGGCGATGGCAACCTTAGGGATGCGCCCTCAAAAACTGAGGGAGTCCCTAAGATTGGCATCGTGATGGGGCGATGCCCAGCATAGGGATAGGGATGTGTTCCAGGCTGGTAAGGACTGGCGCGCTCACAATCGGCGCGCCCCGTCGCCCCTTCCCGGGCCCGCTGGGATTCCTGTTCGGTGGCGTCCTCTGGCCGCGCCTCCACCGGCACCGTGTGGGGACCCATGAAAAGGGATCGCTGGGGGAGGGTCGAGTGCAAGTTCGTTCGTACGTCTGGGGTTTGCACTTGCTCCTCCTCCTTCTCCTTCTGCTCCTGTAATTATCATCCCACCGTGGGGGCTCGAGAGTGCTAGCGGGCTCCTTCCATCACATTGCTCCTGGCGCTGACGGACGCCCGCGCGCCATTGGTGCTGTCTTAATAGACATGGACACATTTTTATCCTACGGTTCAATCCTAGCAGCCTCATGTGGACCCGACGATTTCACAACATATCTACATATCTCAGGTTTGCTGAAGTTGCTGTCTTGGTCGGTTTTCATCTACGTGCGCTATGTGGGATACTTGTTTTGGAGCCCACATGAGGAGGCGCATCAAGTCGTGTACTCTGGCTGCAAGAATGGCCCCTTCACGAACATTTCGCGAGGTGTCTGTGTTGGCTACAAGTTAAAGTCGCGTTAGCGTGGCAAAGTCCATGTCAGGTCTTTTCCCGCTCCTGTCGCGTAGGGCCGTGGTGGGATGATCAGATTCACTGGAACGATTACGTCAAGGCTGTTGTCGCAAGTTCTTTTCCACCTACCTCCGCGGGACGTGCGGACGTGCTGTGAGCGTATGATAGCCGCCCTAGGGTGCTTGCTGATTTGGTTGAGTGAAGAACTTGCGCGGTTTCGGATTCACTGCGCACCGCGACCGTTTACGAACAAGCCGACCAGTTTGATTGCATTGGCAGCTGCGGTGCTCACAGGATGGGTCCCACTGCCCCATTGCCAAAGCTTCTTCAGATAATCCCAACACAGGCATCATCTTCGCGTACAAGGCACTCAGACGTTCCACGGCCACCAGCAGAGCACGTCGCACATCGACTGCCTCGCTATCCCGTGCTGATAAACGAAGCATATGACGAGATGCATCACCGTGGCCCGTTCCGCCAGGAAGCGGCACTTTGCACCAGGCTCGGGTTCTCTTCAGGATCATGCCCTTGTTTTTCTGGAAATTGCGATTCGCTTCTCGTCCGAGTCCAATGCGCAAAGGACGATGTGGGATCGTGACGTCCTTGCCATTGCTCTCCAGACCCCTGACCTTCACGAGGAGTTTCGACAGAAATTGATTGATAATTATATTTCCAAAAATATCACCAGTTGGGATATTTTGAGGCGGCGAACGTAGAAGAAGGCTGCCATGTTTTTCGCGCCACCGTCGCCCAGCGACATATATTTGTTCGAAAAACCGGTTATCTGGATGAGGACACGCGCGGGCTTCGCAAGGAGGTTCGTGCATCGATTTGCTCACGCGAGCGCGCGCGATGGTATTATCATACACACATGTCTGTATATATATATATGTGTAATTTTGGTATACGTACATGTAAACCTATACATATTTATATCTATGTCTATGTATACATCATATCAATAAATCGCCCCCACCGCCTGGCCTGGCCCACCCCGCAACCATTGGGAAAAGCCCGCTGATACCCCCCCGTTTCGCTCCCCAGAGGCGGCCCGGAGAGGCCAACAGGGTGCCAGAACGAGC